TTCATGTATCTGGACAATCTTCAGATTGGGGAAGAAAAGGATATCAAAGTGTAGTGCCAAGAAAAACTGTATTTATGCAGTTGCAAGATTTACTAGCGATTCTATAATTATATTCAGTTCCTCACCACACAATGCACATAAGTTATCTTCTTGGCATACACCACAGTGTGCTTGCGCCAACCTATCCACAACTACATATCCATCCCAACCTCAGATATGGGATATTTATGCTCTCTCTCTGAATCGTAACTATGAAGTTAGCAGACTAGCAAATGCTTTAGTCAATACTTTAAAAATACCTCCATCTCCCCCCCGCTCCCCTGTGGCTTCTTCTGTAGAAAAAATGAAAGGGGAAATCGCTCAGTTATATCTCGGGGCGTTGCATTCTGCCATGCGAAATGCACAGCTTAACAGAAGGTGCAACTGTTAAGAAGTCTGAGCACAATGTCAAAGTGTAGCTCCTGAGAAGATTTGAGTTTTTCTTCTTCTTCTTAATCTTAAACATGCCTAGGGGGCAAGAGAGAATCAGAAGTTCTAGCCTCCTACAGTATTTATGGGGAAAGGTATGATGGCAGTAACTCAGAACTTCCCAGTGAACTCTTAGAGAAGCACAAAAATTAGTTATAAGCCAGGCAAGTTTTTTCAAAGCTATGTAGGATATGCTTATTCCTTTAGAATCCGATCCCTTACTGTCTGTCACATTCCAACAGGGGTGAGGTGGAGGTGGGATTTGCAACAGAAACAGGAAGCAGGGGAGCTTAACCCTTCCCCTGCCACTCACTTCCTCCACAGTTGATTTCTCTGTGCCCATGTTTACCTTGCACAGACAAGTTTGGAATCCTGTAACTGAGCTTGATGATTTTCTTCTTCTTCCCTCTCTATCTCTTTTTCCTTGTGTGTCATGCTTTTTAAAATTGCAAGCCTGAGGGCGAGGGCTGTCTTACAATGGATATTGAAAACTGATCTTGGGAACATATTTGGCTTTTAAAAATTGAACAAAAATATTTTCCATGGGGGGGGGGGGCTGCGGGAGAAGAGAGGCTGTGAACAATTAAAAGCATCCTGAAATGGGTGTGGAAAGTCCATCACCTCAAAAATACTTATTTGAGCAAGAGGAACATTCAGCTCGGGAAAAGCAACAAAAGATATTTCAAATCTAAAGTGAAGGTGTGTGTGGGGGGGGGAGACTCTTAATATGTAGAATAAAATTTTGATACAGAATTTTGAGACAGAAACCACCCATTGATTTCAATCCACTCTGAATCAACAAAGAGACTTCATTGTACATTAGTTCAACCATCCAGCAATCCTTTTTAATTCTGACTGAGCTGAAAATGATGTGAGCCCTTGAGCTACACCATCCATTTCCAAATGAGAAATTTGGAACCGTACCAATTGTGAGCTGCTCTTTTATACCAGTGCAGTGCTTGAAAGGATCCAGCAGAACAGCCAATTCGAAAAGTTCTTATAACATTAAAAGGTCAAGTTATCCAAGCCACCTGAAGCCTCACACTTATGTTAAAGCATCTAATTATTAATGCTTCACTCCAGTCAATAGACTCCACTCAAATGATTTTTCCCCCTTGAAGATCTTTTCCTTTCCTCGTGGATTGTAGAATGCACTCAAAAGTACTAGGTCAATTAGAGAGATGTTTTTGTTTTCTTTGGATTTTTGAGGGGTGTAAGTGTTGCCAGGGCTGGCCCTACCATTAGGCAGAGCAAAACAAATGCCTCAGGTGGCAGATGCTAGAAGGTGGCAATATTCCCCTTGAGTCCCTTGAGCATGGGGAATGCCATCCCATCATCAGTGTTTAAATAAGATTCCGCTACCTGTCAGGTCAGAGTTTGTACATGGGGCAGAGGGCACCATCACATCCTTCGCATCAGGCAGCAAAATGTCTTGGGCCAGCTGTGGATCTTACTCTAGTTCCGACTAGGATGGGACTCCAGCAAGATTAAAGCCTTAAACAGTTAGAAACTTCAGCTAACTACAGGTGTGAAATTCTTCACACACACACACACCCTCCCCAATATTCATGATGGTACTTCTGTGCTTAGTTGAGCAGCCATTGGCTGAATGGGAATAGAAGATGCAGTCTTGCGCTTTCAAAATTTCCCCACATGGAGAAGCTCCATCAGCAGAGCCAGTGCCAGGTATGAGGGATCTCTGGGCAAGCTGTCTTCAAGAATTAACCTGGTCTCCTCCACCGTGAGGAAAAAAGGAAAAAAGAATACGGCAATGGCTGCTGCAGCTGCTTTACCCAGTGGTGCCAGTCCCACAAGCTTACCAGCCCAGGAGACAGTGGATAGGGAACATTGTCTGAGCAGGATTCAACTAACTAATCCTACCAACAGGATTACAACAACCCAAGGAATTGTGCTAGCATTATGAGGCTTTTCTCTCCCTTTTCTCCTTCTGCCCACTGCCCTCAAATGGTTCTTGGTGGATGTGCCCGAGGGCAACCCAGGAGGGAGAAGGAAGAAAAAGCCTGTGCTGAGTTGATAAACTCTGGATACAGATTATGCAAACAAGCTTTTTAATAACAATAGATGCAATGGAAGAGTAACCAACATGGTGCCCTCTAGATTTCTAGACTGGGGCAGCACCAGTGAGTTCCAGCCAGCGTGGCCGATGGGAGAGATGAAGACTGCAGTCCAACAACATATGGAAGGCAACACACTGGTTACTCCTGGTGTAAGGTAAGCATATTAGGGAGGGGAGGGAGAATGATCTCCAAACTACAATGAAGAGGATATAAAATTAATGCTACCCACATCCTAACCACATGCAAAAGCAATAATATTAGATCAGCTGTTCCTAACTATTTCACATTGCATTCTAAAAAGAACTCAGTATTTTAAAATAGAATTCCAATGGCAAAGTATTGAATTGACACTTATGATAAAACACATTTGATTAAGACTTAATAAAGAAGTGTGCATTTTACTTGTGAATAATGCATAGTGAGATAAAGTTGGACATAAAGCAAATAGAATGTCAAAACTAATATCAGTTTGCATTCCTCAGCCATATTACTTATTTTATTACTAGATTTTAAAATGCATATTGAGTTTCAGTAGCTTTTTCATTATTTCGGGAGATAACAAAATAAGCTTTCTGAATAAATGTGCCTGATTTATCCATGTAACTAGTATAAAATCAATACAATTTAAAAGGGGGGGGGGGAGCTCAGGTTGCACAGTAACTTTGATCTTGTTTTTACAAGCAGGGTTTGACACCAAGCAGCAATATTTCAGATATCCTTTTTATTAACTGAAATCTCAAGCAACCTTTTCAACTCTTAAGACATCACTGCTTTGCAGTCTAATTAGAATGAACACATTTTCTTCAAAAGAAATAAAGTTTAATTTCATTAGATACATAATTGCACCCAGCATTATTTTAAAAATAGCCAAAAAAACATCAATAGCAGCTCCTCCTAACCAGCTCTCCAATTCTAGTTGCTACCTCCATTTGTAGGTGGGTAGTCTTCCTTTCACTGGCTGTACTCCCAGCTGTCTTAAAGGTACAATGCTCACAAAATCACCCCGGTGCAGAGATAAATATTTCCCATGAACTGGGAAGAACACATTTAAAATAACTGTCATTGTATGGCATGTAAGCATGTTTATTACAAAACTGAACATTCCTTAGAAACTCTTGAAAGCCGTAACATTTTTGAATAAAATAAAATTGTCCAGAATCCTTTATAAACCAGATTTGAAAGTCCAACCACATTTATGGGACCCCCCCTCCCCCAAGGTCCAGATCTAAAGTCCACCAAAATCCAAGCAACTATAATGATCTGCAGGAACATAAAGTCATTGGCTTGGATCCTACCTTCCATTTTGTGAATGGACTAGAGATCAGTTCATGAAATGGTGTTTCCCCACCATCCCCTTCCTGCTGCAACACCCTGTGACCTGAAAAATCTGCACCTGAAGGTGGAAGAACAGAATGAGAGCCAGGTGTATGTATATGCCTTATCTGCTTGACGGTGGCTTTCTCCATGCCTATAGCTGAACCTCCACGTTCTGAGACAATATCTCAGAACAGGCAATACCCATATCTACTCAAAGGCACAGTTACACAAAGGTACCACAGGTGAAATGGCTAATCCAGCAAACAATGACACACCTCTTGCACCCAATGGGGCAGGTACAACCTAGCATGGCAGATGATTCTGCTCCAAATTTAACACTCTGCCTGGAGGGCTGAACCTGCTCCATTTGTCTGTGCCTCCATTGACATCTACAGGACATGTGAGGGAGATGAGGCATGTGGAGCAGCCCCCTCCTGTCTGGCAACTCTGGCAGTGGTGTGGGTGGAGCAATGGGTACCTTGGAAGCATCAGAGGTGGACTCTGACAGCTGTGGAGAGGAAGGTGGGGCTTGCCGTTCATGCCATGGTGACCGGCAGGGGTGAGAACAGGTAGAAGAAAACATCCTCCCACTTGCGCCCTCTTCCCAGGAACCTCAGCACTAGGAAGCCCTGGATTAGGCAGCCCACTGAAGCCCTTTGCAGGGTCTTCTGAAAACCAGCCCTTGGTGTCATTCTGACTTGACCAGGCCATGACACTAAAGCCTTCATGTGTTTGCCTGGAGGGGTAACGAAAGTGTGTAGAGAGGCAGGGGGCATGCACAAGAGTTCCTCTCTGACCTTCGCATCTTGAGCTTGAAGGGGATTTCTAACTGTGTTCAGTTGAACATGCTTAGGAGCCTTCTTTAGACCTTTGGGCTAAAGAGGTGAAGAGAAGGAGTAAGGGACCCCTGACTCTTGACAGCAGTCACGAAATTAAAAGACGCCTGCTTCTTGGGAGAAAAGCAATGACAAACCTAGACAGCATCTTAAAAAGCAGAGATATCACCTTGCAGACAAAGGTCCGTATAATTAAAGCTATGGTTTTCCCAGTAGTGATGTATGGAAGTGAGAGCTGGACCATAAAGAAGGCTGATCACCGAAGAATTGATGCTTTTGAATTATTGTGCTGGAGGAGACTCTTGAGAGTCCCATGGACTGCAAAATGATCAAACCTCTCCATTCTGAAGGAAATCAGCCCTGAGTGCTCACTGGAAGGACAGATCCTGAAGCTGAGGCTCCAATACTTTGGCCACCTCATGAGAAGAGAAGACTCCCTGGAAAAGAACCTGATGTTGGGAAAGATGGAGGGCACAAGGAGAGGGGGACGACAGAGGACGAGATGGTTGGACAGTGTTCTCGAAGCTACGAACGTGAGTTTGACCAAACTGCGGGAGGCAGTGGAAGACAGGAGTGCCTGGCGTGCTCTGGTCCATGGGGTCACGAAGAGTCGGACACGACTAAACGACTAAACAACAACAACAAGGCAAGCAGGTGACATTGAGTCAGGGTGAAGTGCACCCCATAATAAGACAAAAAATGTTCCCCACCCTTGATGTGGAGAGTGGGTCTCTTTACTCTATGCTCTACCCCTGAGGGAAAAGACAGCCAGAACTTGAAAATACTGTACTTTTCCGTGTATAAGACTAGGTTTTTTGACTTTAAAATAAGGTTAAAAATCTGGGGGCATCTTATACACTGATAGTGCATATGCCCATTTTCTAAATTTGGGGTCCCCAAAAGTAGGGGGCCTCTTATACATAGAGGTGTCTTATACACGGAAAAATACGGTACATCAGGAACAGTGCGAGGGAGCCTGAGGTTGTTTTCTACACACAAAAGCCTACCTTGCTTCTTAACTTTATTCAAACTTTATTCTAACATATTTGTAATCTGCCCTGAAGACCTACATGGTAGGATACAGGAAAATAAATCTATTAAAATAACGTAAATACCACAGCATATGTAATTAAAAGAACCCTGTAAAAAATATGAGCAAATCTATAACCACTCAACATTAAGCGAAAAACCACACTGATATCTTCTAGATTTACTACCTTGTCAGGGTGCATGGAACTAAATATATAATTCACTGTGAATTATTTATACCACAGTTAGTTAAAAAGAAATGTGATTTATTATTCTCTAACACCTATTGATTTTATCATTCAAATGCAGGAAACAACCCCACTGATTACCTGGTGCAATTTTTAAAATTGTGTTAAATGAGCCCATGCCTAAGCTCTTAAACTGATCAGTGGAAAGAGGGGAAAAAATGAATATTTCAGCATGATTTATTCTTCATCAACTGCAAGGATCTCTTTTTCATTAGTTTTCAAGCTTTGCCTCAGAATGGCATTCTGAACAACAGGCTGGAAATTACAGTTTTCAATAGATATACAAATCTAACAGAGCACACATGTGCAAGCTAGGGCTGTGCATCCATTATTACTATGTGTTTTGAGCCTTGGAAAAGGAAAATCAAGCGAAGGACAAACTGGAGAATTGGTGTGGCAAGCAAGGAAAGGGTTAAGTCCCCCACTGTTTCTCCACTCCAAATGCCTTCCTTCTAAAGCTGCTTTTATTTTCTTTAAAGCCATCATTTCTGTATCATATGTATTAGTGTATCACATGTAGTTAGCCCTTAAATGGAGTAGGCTGTACTGTACAGTAAGATTGTACTGCCACTGGTGGTGTGGGTTTTTACACATACGCCATAAATGCTCTCCTGTGATCATAGGTACTCCTAATCCCCGTCTTTCAGATATATTTCCACTAAGCATTTCCAGCTAGCTATACTCTAGCTGCACATTAATTCCTTTCCCCCTGCAGAGGCATCCCTCTGCAACAAACACGGAACAGAAGAGGGCCATGGCAATGGGAATCTAAGTCTCTCAACTTGCTTTATAAATAGGCTCGGGGATTTTTATACGAATTGTGAATTGACCTGCTCCACCTCAATTCACATCTTACCCAAAGCTTCTTCCACAGCTTTAGTGTGTAGCTGTGAATTCTCAAGGATGCTTGAAGCACGGCAGCTGGGTCAAAATCCTTGTTTTGATTTGTAAAGCAAGCTACCATACTGCGGCATAATCTATAATGAATATTTTAGGGATTTGCTAGTGCAGAGTAAGTACAACAGAATGCTTATTTAAACCTCTTCCTAGTACAGTCTTGCAGAATTGTTAGAAACAGCTTACTGTTGAGTTCTTCACCTTGCTTCTTGCAACCAGTTTCAAAATAGTGATCTGATGACTGTGGGTCTAAAAATAATTTGCATTGTTGTGGCTAATCACTAGAGAGGGGCATTCTTCTTATCCGCGTTACCCATTTAGTCTTGCATACAAAGATAATTAAGAAGTGAGGCATGATAAACTATACCGTGAGCGCTGATAATGCACCCCTCCAATCACACTGTCAGGCTCAAAAAGAACTCAAACACTCTGGTAAATATGAATTGGATAATAATCAACCACTGCCCGCACTCAGCATACCAGAATAGCCAGAAGAGTCCTTCTGATACAATGAAGGTTTTTGAAGACTATCTAGAATTGTACTTTTATGTCAAGTATAATGGGTTCTAATAACCACAAACTACCTGCAAATAGTACGTCTTCATCAAGCTTTACAAACACTAATCTTGTACAATCATGAGTAAGAGTTTAATAATTCAATTAAATGCTGAAAGCTGTAATATTATTTTAGATTCCAATTAACCAATTAATTATTGATCTTCGGGGGACTGAAGTTCTCTTCATCACTTAACACCAATGCCCTCTAATAGCTAGTCGGATGCAAGTCTCTCTTTCTCTGTTTCACTCCCTCTGGCCAAATCATATTTGTCATATTGAGTAATTAAAAAACTTAAGACCTCAACAGGAAAGTCTCTGCACAACATAACATATCCATCAGTTGGGTGACATGAAAATTCTAAATGCCATTTCTACAGAAAAACACACTTAAAAAAAACCATGCACATACAAATTGCTTATTTTGTTGCTGTTGTTCCAATCATTTCTACCCTTTCTGTTATATAATCTAGGTGGCTTGCGAGGAAGAAACAACAAAATAGCATTTAAGTTTAAAATAGGTATTAAAACAAGGTGAAAAAGACTATTCAATCAGGATGTCTGTGTTTTTTAAACCCTGCTGAACGAAGGCAGCCTATGCTGTTCACAGAATGCTGAGCAGTAATGGGGTCAGGCATCGTACTTCTGGGAGGCTGCTCCAATTTGGTTACCACAACTGAAAAGGCCCTGTCTCTAATACTCACCTCCTGGAAATAGAAGGGGAAGAAATAGAGGCAGTGAGAGATTTTACTTTCTTGGACACCATGATCACTGCAGATGGTGACAGCAGTCACGAAATTAAAAGACGCCTGCTTCTTGGGAGAAAAGCAATGACAAACCTAGACAGCATCTTAAAAAGCAGAGATATCACCTTGCAGACAAAGGTCCGTATAATTAAAGCTATGGTTTTCCCAGTAGTGATGTATGGAAGTGAGAGCTGGACCATAAAGAAGGCTGATCACCGAAGAATTGATGCTTTTGAATTATTGTGCTGGAGGAGACTCTTGAGAGTCCCACGGACTGCAAGATGATCAAACCTATCCATTCTTAAGGAAATCAGCCCTGAGTGCTCACTGGAAGGACAGATCCTGAAGCTGAGGCTCCAGTACTTTGGCCACCTCATGAGAAGAGAAGACTCCCTGGGAAAAACCCTGATGTTGGGGAAGATTGAGGGCAAAAGGAGAAGGGGACGACAGAGGACGAGATGGTTGGACAGTGTTCTCGAAGCTACCAGCATGAATCTGACCAAACTGCGGGAGGCAGTGGAAGACAGGAGTGCCTGGCGTGCTCTGGTCCATGGGGTCACGAAGAGTCGGACACAACTGGACGACTAAACAACAACAAGGAATTGCCTCAGAAATGAAGTATCTAGTGAGATTCATATCAATGGGGGAGGTAATATTCTGGTCCCGGCCTGGGGAGTCCTAGACTTCCTAATAATAATAATAATAATAATATCCATTTCATTGCTAAAAAAAGGGGTGGGTAGGGAATGAACGACTGTGTGGGATTAAACATAAAGGTGTTTACACAAACTGTTGGCCTATATTGGCTGACTGGTTAATGCTTTAAAAGGCATTAACTTTTTAATATGTTTCTAAACATGCCTACCTTTTAAAACCACCAAATTCTCCTTTTAAAAAAACTCCACAGCATTGTTTAGTGCATTTATTAATTGTATTCATTGCTGAACAGGGAATGAAAGGGAACAAAGTGTCAACCTATATATATATAGCTACTTAATGGACTCAGTTTGTAATTTTACAAGCTGCTTTGACTTCAACAATTTTAGTGCAACTTCAATGCTGTTTGTTTAAATTTTATACTAGGTTTAAGAACTTGATAGCATAATTGTATGCACGATTGATCTTTCAAAAACATATTGTAAACAGCATTAAAATGTTTAAGACTATAAAATACTTTTATGAAGTAATCTGCCAATTTTATAGACTTAACGCTGCAGCAAACCTCTAACCAAGTAACACAGTAATATAGATATAAAATGCTTTATTTATCCTGTAATGGTAAAATCTTTTTTTTGATTGGCATAGCATTAAATAAAAGAAAAAACTATAAAATTGCCTTAAAAAGTCATGCAGTGTTTCATTTTTAATAGGTTTATTGAACAGATGATCTCCTAGCTTTGGTTTCTTTTGTTTCCTGACACCTTTACAAGACGACATCTGGCAAAAATTAGAATAAGATGGAAAATCTGTCAAGGTGCAGTTGTCTGTTGTCCATCTCTTCTAATGAAGATATGAGTTTTTCCAGAAAACTGGTGTGTGTTTTGTTTCTTTGCTTTGTTTTGGCATATGTTTAATCCTTTCAAAAACATTCATTTGCCTTTGACAATTGTGTTTGTTACGGACCTCAGTGGTGCTGGACACGTTCTGAATGCAAAAGCTACAGGCGTCTTGAGGAAGGGCTTGGGAAGGTTCAAGTCTGAATTGAGCCGCTCTTAGTCAGGCCCCATCTGCACTATACTGTTCATTTAAAGCAGAATAATGTCACTTCAAGCAGTCTGGGCTCCCACCACACCCTCCAACAAATAATCATGGGAACTGTAGTTTGCTAAGGATGCTGAGAGTTGCTGGAGACCCCTTTTCACTTTACAGAGCTGCAGTATTTTAACAGTCAATCCCTCTTCCCTGGAAACTCATGAGAATTGTATTTCTGCTAGGTGAATAGTGGTCTCCTAACAACTCCTGGAAGGCGCCTGCTTCTTGGAAGAAAAGCAATGACAAACTTAGACAGCATCTTAAAAAGCAGAGACATCACCTTGCCAACAAAGGTCCGCATAGTAAAAGCTATGGTTTTCCCAGTAGTGATGTATGGAACTGAGCGCTGGACCATAAAGAAGGCTGATCGCTGAAGAATTGATGCTTTTGAATTATGGTGCTGGAGGAGACTGTTGAGAGACCCATGGAGTGCAAGAAGATCAAACCTATCCATTCTGAAGGAAATCAGCCCTGAGTGCTCACTGGGAGGACAGATCCTGAAGCTGAGGCTCCGATACTTTGGCCACCTCATGAGAAGAGAAGACTCCCTGGAAAAGACCCTGATGTTGGGAAAGATGGAGGGCACAAGGAGAAGGGGACGACAGAGGACAAGATGGTTGGACAGTGTTCTCGAAGTTACCAGCATGAGTTCGACCAAACTGCGGGAGGCAGTGGAAGACAGGCGTGCCTGGCGTGCTCTGGTCCATGGGGTCACAAAGAGTCAGACACAACTAAATGACTAAACAACAACAATGTTACACATTGCTTGACACAATAAAGGATTGGATCAAAAGTTCTCTTCAGAACATGGTCAGAACACTCAGGTCTCAGCTACTCCTTCCCTCTACAACTGCAAAAAAAATCTGCTCCAAAGGACTGAGTTGTGGAAGGTAGCATGGATGTTGCAGAGAACTGGCAAAAACATCACTCCCTTGTCACCTGCATAAGACTTCCTCCATCTTCTATCCGCTTTATGCTAAGATGTTTTAGAAATGAAAAGGCTTTCCCCCATTCATGGAAAGGCACATTTGGATCCAACCCAAACAGTTACAAAATTATTCAACTAGTTTGGCAAACAATTCTGCCCATTTAAAAAGGCAAATTTCAATATAATAGTCAAACTAGGGTAGAGGGTCATAGGGCTTCCACCCACACAGAGAGGTGTGGCTGGTTTCCACTGTGAGCTGCAGCCATACTTAAATCTTTACAACTCAATGGTGGGGTATGCATATGAACATCATGTGCTGTCTTGACCAGCTCACTTTTATGGAATTTGGAAAATAAACTGTAATTCTAGTGAACTACAATGCAGATATTAAACACACACCACAAAAATAAACTCAATTAAACCAGCCTAGAATATGTACACTCTCTATATATTAAAAACAGGGCCACTTCTCATTTTAATCTTGACAGAATCACTTCAGCAAGACAAACCATACTGAAAAGAGAACAGGTCTCTTGGGATCCATACACCTAATGTAAGAACTGTGTAGCTGATATTTCGATATACACTATACAATTCTGCTTTTATTTATTAGAACTATGTATATATTACCCTTCCACTTCATTTGTACTATAACATTCAAGACAGCTTTTAAGTAAAGCACTGAGGTATGTCCCCATTCCACTGTTTAATTTAAATAATTTGTTGAGGCTGGTAAGGCTTTTATGAAACACATTCCCACACATCAGCTTTGAATATTGTTCATCACCTTCCTTGGTAATATATTTGTAGTTTTCAATACTGTCTGTGAATCAGATGTCTTTGCAAAACTCTCACTTTACTCATGAACTAAATGTTTGATGCTCTTTTTTATATACTTGTCAAACACACCCATCAGCTCTAGGAAGATTATTGACAGTGTAAAGCACTTAACTGCTAGGTGCTAAGAAAACAAACATACACCTTGAAACACATATTCTTTGGTTTCTGAAATTACAGGTTTCAGAACTTTACCTCAAGACTAACTAAAGGTACCCCGAATGTTGGAAACAACTGAAGAGGGTGAGAATATTGGAAAGTATTATTATTATTATTATTACTTTATTATTTATACCCCGCCCATCTGGCTAAGTTTCCCCAGCCACTCTGGGCAGCTCCCAGTCGAGTATTAAAAACAATACAGCATTAAATATTAAAAACTTCCCTAAACACTGCCTTCAGTTGTCTTTTAAAAATAGGATAGTTGCTTATTTCCTTGACATCTGATGGGAGGGCGTTCCACAGGGCGGGCACCACTACCGAGAAGACCCTCAGTCTGGTATTGGACGATGATTATTGTGAGCCACACAGAAGGAAGCGAGAGATTTATCTAAACTACATGATATGCACAATGGTTCAGCATCAAGTAGTATGCCTTGTTCTCTTTGATGAATGTTTTACACAGCACTTTTCAACTTATTTTGCCCAATCACCTCCCTACTTCCGACTCAGAGCCATTCCCACATCTCCTATATTGATTAAGGCAATGATCATAGGTTAAACACAATGCAAGTGCTTTGCAGACATACAGTTACAGATTCTATCCCCACCATCTTGGGGCAGTGCTGGGAAAGACTCCTGACTAAAATGCTAGAGAGCCACAGCTGATCAGCATAGCCAACAGGATGCCCTCCAGAGATTCTGGACTTCAGTTTCCATCCATAACCAACGGCCCAATAACATCTGTAGGTCACCATGGTGTAGACCAGGGGTAGTCAACCTTTTTATCCCTACCACCCACTAACGCATCTTTCTTGATGGTAAAATTTCCTTACCGCCCACCAGTGCTCAATGGAAGGAGGATTCAGCTTGTGCCGTAGAACCCCCTACCGCCCACCTAGAATCCTGAAACGGCCGCTAGTGGGCAGTATGGACCAGGTTGACAACCCCTGGTGTAGACAAACTGAGTCAGATGGACCAGTGCTCTCAACTAGGTATAAGACCTAGTTTCTTAAAGACAGGACTCTTCAAGAATAAGGTCAGCACTGATGAGAGACCAACATGGGCAGCCTGCCCAGGGTGCCCAAAAATCTGGCTCTGGGCCTGATATTCACAGGCTTTTACTGTCCTTCCTTACAAGATTTTCCCAGTAGACTGGAAACAACTTCCACTAGCACTTTGGCCAGCAGCTACAAGTCCTGTGTGAGAGCCAGTGTGGTGTAGTGGTTAAGAGCAGTAGTCTCGTAATCTGGGGAACCGGGTTCGCATCTCCGCTCCTCCACATGCAGCTGCTGGGTGACCTTGGGCTAGTCACACTTCCCTGAAGTTTCTCAGCCTCACTCACCTCACAGAGTGTTTGTTGTGGGGGAGGAAGGGAAAGGAGATTGTTAGCCGCTTTGAGACTCCTTCGGGTAGTGATAAAGCGGGATATCAAATCCAAACTCTTCTTCCTCACCTTCTTTTAGGGAAAACTTTGGCTCTAAATTCTCCTGCCCCTTTTTGCTCTCCCTCATACCTCTTTGATCCCCACTGCAGTTTTAAGTTGGCATTGCTTTGCATAATCTTCCTTCAAATAGGATTTTCAATTTTAATTTTCATCACACATTTCCTCGAAGCAACCACATACAAAAAAAGGGCTCCCTCAACAGTAAATAACTTCATTGTATTTTTTATTGATTTGATTAGAGTGGGGGAGACCATCTTATTCTAGCAAAGCAAAATATAATAATCATGAGACAGAGACATTGCCAAGTAATTGTCGGCATTGATAATTGAATGGAAAGGGCATGCTAGCCTACCACTAACAACTAAAGCTACACGACCTCCATTGAACTATACATTTGAGATAATAATCCCCATCACAATCCATCATAATAATAAGCCAAATTGTGTGAGTACCGTTGCAACATATTTCTATTACACAAAATTACAAAGCCCAAAATAATGGAAATGATTGCTTAAGGGTAAAGAGGCAAAATTAAGGACACCACAGTACATTTAACTTAGCTGGAGCTGAGAAGAAAGAAGTATCATATTGCTTAGCACGTACCTACACAAATGAAAAGATACAGCCTTAAAATATAGTCTACACTATCATGTATAACAATCCCATGTTGGATTTTTTTTGGGGGGCGGGGAACTATTTAATGATGCACTGGTGACTTTATTTTCTTTCTTATCTTTTATCAAAGCACCTGCAGGCTATCTTTGCTTAAGCAAACAGAATTATACATTCCTGTCGTTATCAAGGAGCTGCAGCCAAAAATAGCATCTCAATGAGACAAATGTTCTTAAATCAGGGGCAGCCAATCTGGGGTCCTCTACCACTCCTGATCATTGGCTACGCTGGCTGGCACTAATGGGAGTTGAACAACCTCTGGAGGGAACCACATTGGCCATTCTTGGTTTAGAGAATTATAAATGAGTCACAGGCTCTCATGCTCCCTCCCTCACCCCTTACTGTCTCAGATAGTTCCCCTATCTGTTTCCTAGCATGCACCATAGTTTGCCAATATTCAATCCAATCCAGAAGCAGAACAATGGTCTGAAAGGAAAGCACTAGCAATGGTTTACGGATTTGGACATCAATGATGAGTGACAAATGAAGACAGAGATCGAAGTCATAACAGAAGAAAGAAAGGGAATGCAAGTCCACATTTCATTTATTACCATAGGAAACTAGAAGCCTGTCATCTGTCTCAGTATTACGTATATTGACTAGCAGTGGTTCCCCAGGTTTTCAGCCCTATCTGAAGATACAGGGGATCGTCCTTGTGACATTCTGCATTCAAACCAATGATCTGCCACTGCGTGGTGGCCTTTTCTGAATTACGGATTGGAGGATCACCAATCCGTAAAAATCTGTACACCAATCTGTAAAAATGAACTTCTTCTCTTTTTTTTTTTTGCTAACACAGTTAGTTAGTTAGTTAGTTAGTTAGTTTATTGATTGATTGAATTTATATTCTGCCCTATACCCAGAGGTCTCAGGGCAGTTCACAGAACAAAACCAAAACCACAAAACATATAAAAACAACCCAATAACTCCCCCCAACACATTTTAAAAGGGCATTGGGTGTCAATCAGATAGACCAAAGGCCTGGTTAAAAGGGAACGTTTTTGTCTGGAGCCTAGAGGTGTATAATGAAGGCACCAGGCGAACTTCCCTGGGGAGAGCATTCCACAGATGGGGAGCCACTGCAGAGAAGGCCTGTTAAAATTTGAGAAATGGGACTCACAGTACTCCCCTGATCTACATCCCTAAACTGGTTTGGGCATTCACGACTCAAAGCTCAAGATAAATTCACTTTCCTAGGCATATCATAATGCGTATCCTGTGAAGAGACTGCTTGAATACTCTAGCCAGAATAGCACCCTTGGGATATTATGAGACAATTCTCATCATCTCATTGAAAGAGGTGGGTTTGATTAGTGTGGAGAAGGGACATTTAAAAGGGAAACATCAAATACCACATGCTAATATTACTATAGAAGAAACATCAGCATGCTGAAGGGTTTCGTACCTTGGCTGTTCTTTGAAAGATGGGCCCTGGGAGGCAGGAAGGGGAGGAAGACAATGCAAGATATCACCCTCTCCAGAGGACATGCTTAATGTTCCCATCGCCAGTTATCAAGTGACTCTTATGTCACTAGCCCAAAAAGAACGCCCTTTTCCAAGGCATGACATCTTATTAGTTTTCCTTTTCTGAAAGTGTAAGAAGAATCCATAGTCACTTCCCTTCACTGCTACAAAACAGTGGGTGGAGTCATAAAGATGCCCAGAAGGGCTGGCTGAAGCATTTAAATCATTCCTGATCTTAATCTTTTAAATGTTCCCTAAGACTGTCATGGAGCATTATCAGCACAGAATGAAGATGCTGATGAGAAAGTCTACTTACATCTCCATCCATTCCCTCTCACTCGCTGAATGATCAAACCAAAGGAGATTGATATGCCTCTGTGGCGATCACACAGGGCCCCCGGACGTTTGACGGTCTATTGACCCTGTGCCACCATTGTGATTGCTTTCTTCGCTGCCACCACCCTGCTTTTCACGGGGACACACGGAGTCCAGACAGTTGTTAACAATAACAAATAATCAAGTTTATTTTAAAATGCAGGAACAAGTGTATGGTTTCAGTTTATTTTTTCTCTTGTCAGTTTCTTAATCTTAATTCCTAACAATTCCAAACTGATTATTCCAACTATCTATCTGACTCAACCTAACAATTCCTCTCACTCTCTCACAATACAACTCGACCAACCCACACCTAATCCTCCCTCTTCCTTCTTCACCTCCCAAACCTCAACTGACTTTCAAAACCTCCCACTCTAACTTTTACTCCCCCCTTGCATTCTCACTGGCCAATCACATCACACCCATTTTAACCCTTTCCTTATGACCTATCCTAGGAGGCAAACGCCACAGCCTCCAGAGCAGGGGTAGGCAACCTAAGACCTGGGGGCTGGATGCAGCCGAATCGCCTTCTCAATCCAGCCCGTGGACAGTCCGGGAATCAGTGTGTTTTTACATGAGTAGAATGTGTCCTTTTATTTAAAATGCATCTCTGGGTTATTTGTGGGGCAAAGGAATTCATTCATATATTTTTTCAAAATATAGTCCAGCCCACCACATGGTCTGAGGGACTTTGGACCAGCCCATGGCTGAAAAAGGTTGCTGACCCCTGCTCTAGAGCTCTAGTGACCAATGAGCTAGCAGAGGGAGGTGTCACAATGAAGGGTGTGTCACAAGGAACTCCTCAACCTAGCAACCACCAGCACTTGAACTGACACTACTCTCAACTGACACTACTAAGCTTGCTTATATGGCTTTTAATCCATGTTCAGCTTTTTACAAGTATGTAAAATGAAATTTATCCCTTTATATTCAAGCTTCCGTTGTTCCTGCACCTACTGAGCATTATCTATCTAATCTACCTCTCTGCCTCTTTGGCAGAGAGGAACAGCGGAAAACCAGAAATCACTCCTTGCGTGTTTATTAATTTTATTCCCCTCCTTCACTTGCAGGTCCCAGGGCAAGTTACAGCCATCTAAATTATAATTATTGTTGTTATTAATTAAATTTGTATACCACCCTATACCACAGGTTTCAGGGCAGTTCACAGGATAAGATCACAATATAAAAATACAAAATCCATAATAAAAACAAATACAACCAATAACCCCCACCACACACACACACACACACACACACACACACGGGCATTGGATGTCAACAGGGCGAGTCTTGAAAATACAACTCTCTGGTGTCAAAGGCCAGATAACAGGCCCCCTAAGTGCCCCTATTCCCAGGGACAGTCCCAGATTTACAGAAGCTGTCCCAGTTTCTGATTTGATCCTGGGATGTTCTGCTGTTCTTTAGGTCCTCCCTATTTTAAATGTTCCCAGGACTGTCATGGAGCATTATCAGCACAGAATGCAGATGCTGATGAGAAAGTCTACTTACACCTCCATCCACTTTCTTTCTCACTTGCTGAATGATCAAACCAAAGGAGATCGCTATGTCTCTAGAGGACCAATGAGCCAGCAGAGGGAGGTGTTACAATGAAGGGTGTGTCACAAGAACCTCTGCAACCTAGCAACCACCAGCACTCAACTCACACTACTCCCAACTGACACTACTAAGTTTGCTTATATGGCTTTTAATCCATGTTCAGCTTTTTACATGTATGTAAAATGAAATGTATCCCTTTATATTCAAGCTTCCGCTGTTCCTGCACCTACTGAGCATTAGCTACCTAATCTACCTCTCTGCCTCTCTGCTGCAACTGCCACACACCAAAAGGCTATGGAAAGGGCCCTGTGTCTTCAACAATTCACAAATTGATTCATTGCAGCTCAACAGCAGCCCTCTCCTTCTTTTCAGTGTCACCCTATATTGCTGAACAGTGGAAAACCAGAAATCACCCCTTGCGTGTTTATTCATGTTATTACCCTCCTTCACTAGCAGGTCCCAGGGCAAGTTACAACCATCTAAAATTATTATTGTTGTTGTTATTAATTAAATTTGTATACCGCCCTATACCCACAGGTTTCAGGGCAGTTCACAGGATAAGATCACAATATAAAAATACAAACAACAACAACCCAGTAACACACACCCCCAAACACATTTTAAAAGGGCATTGGTTGTCAATCAGATCAACCAAAGACCTGGTTAAAAAGGAACACTTTCACCTGGAACCTAAAGATGTATAATGAAGGTGCCAGACGAACCTCCCTGAGGAGAGCATTGCACAGACAGGGAGCCACTGCAGAAAAGGCCTGTTCTCGTGTTGTCATGCTCCAGACCTCTTGACCTCAGACTTTTTCTGGATGCCCTTCAAGATGTCACTATTAAACTAATCTGCCTAACTAATCTCTATAGGATGGAGAAACAAAACTAAGATGTTCAAATCAGAACATTTGCCAAAGGAGTACAAGTTATTCAAATGAATTTATCCCTCTCTCCTCAAAATTCAGTCTTCTATATCTCTCATATTACACAGGTTCCTGTTGACTTCTTAAGGAGATCTCTTTTCAAGGTAATGAGCTGTTGATAATGTTTAATGACCTTATACAGTAGGAGTTCTACATTTCGGGATTAAAATTCATCTCAAGCATCCTGGCCTGAGAAGCAACAGACTGTGCCTAGCGAACCATTACCTAAGACTATACAAGTGACACTAGCAGCAGCAATTTTAAAAACACTGCAATAGCAATACGCATCATATTAAAAAGAAAGATCTCAATGCACACAAGTTAACAAAGTCAGGAAAAGGGCAAGTTTCATCTTTAAAAAAAATATTTTGTATAATAATGACTTTGCATTATTTCTACTAGGTTTACATAAAACATAAAACATAAAACATAAAAAGATGGTATCACAAATACTAGAAAGGCAGCACATGTTGTTTTTAGCATCCTGCCATTTTATCAAAAGCCTCATAGTTTATAAGGAGCAGGAATGTGAGAAGAGTGCATTTCATCCAAAGTTTGACTCTTAATGAATTCTACCTATGTGCAACCAATAAGCTTACCTTTGTTGTCCTCCAACTTTGGACCAGTTGCAACATATAGATGGGCCTCTGCCATGATGTTGTCTGGATTCTTCTTGTGTCAAGTCCAGTTTCCACAAATCCCTCTCTTTAGAGCTGCCCAACCACATCACATTGCATGCTGGAGATTCTCAGAAATGGCTTTTCAGGGGGTTGCAGTGGGGAGGAGTGAGTGAGAAACCCCCACTGCATGAGCCTTGCTCAGGCATTTTTAGACCCAAGCCATAACACAAAATGAGCAACCATATACGTTAGGATTTTACTCTCCCTTGGTTGCATGCATGAACTGGTCTTTTGTCTCACTCCTAAATATGTGCCATTAAAGGTAATTCGGCCATTAAATGTGACCTGCAGCTTCAGGGCACAATGGTGAAGCAGAAAGAAATCTAAAACAGTCAGCTGATGAGAAGGGAAATGCTTGATCTGCACCTGAACCTTTCACAACAGCTTTTCCCTCACCCAGAAATCACAAACAGTTCATTCTATGGCAGCCTTTCTCAACACTGGGTCCCTAAGTGTTGTTGGACTACAGCTCCCATCATTGTTCACCACTGGCCATGCTGGTGAGGAATGATGGGAGTTGTAGTCCAAGAACATATGTGGTTGGAAAAGGCTGCTCTATGGGGATGAACATTATTACCACCTGAGGTTTGCAAACCAAGCTACTGTTAAAGTAGCCTGGAATACAATCACTTACCACCTGGTCACCATGAGCAATCAGGAATCTCATTCAGGTGAGTGTGTGGGCTGACAGTGTGGAGAGAGAGATTTGTTCTTCCTCTTCCAGCTTCTATGCTGACAACAGAGGTTGTGAAGCCCCTTCCTCCATGGCCAGCATAGAAATACAGCACACTGGTCAAGGAAGCTGTCCCCGCCTTTGCCAACCCATGAATGAAGAGAAGCAAAAACATAGACAACTACCCACAGGGTAATGGAGCAAACTGCAGCTCCACTACTGGTCTGCTGTGCTTCTCTGATGGTTGTGCTTCTTTTATAAGCATAAGAAAACTTGGCAATCCCAATAAGCACAGGGGAAATGCCGTTCCCCAATAGCCTGCCTACTTTGTATTGAAAAACAAGTTAGCTTAAAAAAGGGCGGGGGGAGGGGAGAAATTAAATTGTTGGTTTTTTTTCCTGCTAGATTTTCAGTCAGAAGCATTACCAGGGGAGAAATCAATTGGCAGCAGCTGAGAAGAGATATTTAAGTTGAAGGCCAGAACATCTTAATTGGGAAAGGGTGTTAAAAGTTGGAGCTAGAGTCACTTCAACATATAACAAAGCTCTCAAAAAAGACTTTCTATAAAATCAAGTAAGGTCAAATATAATGGGAAATGCCTTGCCAAACCCAAGGGGGGGGGGGTTGAAATTGTCCACAAAGACTTTAGATTCTGCACTAGAATAGCCTTTCCACAAAATCAGTTGTTTGTGTACGTTCAGCTGTTTATCCTTTGTAGTGCACAATGCATATGCCTTCCCCAGAACTTGTGCTTCTATTGTGGGGCTATATCGCAATATTTTATGGTTTGGGAGAGTGACATTTGTCCCCCAAATACTGGATGCATGGCTATTAGTTATGTATGCAGTGTTGCTTATGCAAGTGTCAAGGACACCTCTTGGATATTACCTCTCAAGTGAAAGATAAGTAACAAATCTGCACTTTGTGCCCAGTTCTACTGACATTTTGTGACCTTCAGAAACACTTTCCCCTCACAAACCAGGAGACCCTGTAGTTCTCCAGAAGTTGCTGGACTAAGCGCCCTCCACCCCTGACCACTGGCCATGTTGGATGGGACTGCTGGGCACTGGGGTGACAACAACATTTGAAGGGGCCACGAGTTCTTGATTCTTATCTTAGAGGTTGTGTGCTTCCCTGCTATGCATATCAAACAGAGGGGAAAAATTGTTGTGGCTGTTAAGTAATGCCACTGAAGTTATCTGTCCCCTGCTCTCTGGCCAGTATCTTGGCAGCCATCTGGGTCTAGATCATATTTCACTCCTCCAGCCTTTAATTCAGAGATGGGAAATCAATGGCTCTTCAGGTGTTATTGGGTCTCCAATTCCCATCAGCCACAAACAGCAAAGCCAATGGTTAAGGATATTGGGAATTGGTCCAACAACATCGGGAGAGTCACAGATGCCTCACCTTTCTGCTGAAGGGGAATTTTTTTGTGCAAACTCTATAAAAAGGGGGAAAGGAACCAAAAAAATCCTTCAATTTTGAAATCCTTTATTAGTATTTTTTAAAGGAAGATTCAAGATTCATTGTGATCTTAGCTGCCCTCTCCTCACCTTCCTTGTGCTAGAGGTTCTCGTGAAGCTTTTTTTAAAAAAGAAGAGCACACAAATGTAGCAAAATATATTTTTATGCGGTGCAACATAGTCTCATTAAAGCAAGCAAACGTAATCAAGTTTTGAATGTGATCCAACATTGTTTCAACAGACGTGATGGAACTTCCCTTACTATTTGGCAACCTCTGTCTCCACCCACTCTGTTCCAAAGACTCACCAATACTCAGGAGTAGATTTAGAGGGTCAGCAGTGGGCAGGAGAGGTAGGGGAGCAGTCTGTTGTGCATGCACAATGCCACAATCAGATATCACCCTTTGGCTTGATATTCCCCCCACCCACCCCCAAAACTGAACAAAGAATCTATAAAAAAAACCCACAGGGTAAGCAGGCTAGCTGTTAACAACTTAAAAATAAACTGGTATATTTATTTAAATAAAACTGAAACTGTGTTTGTTTGCCATGATATAATGAAATTATGGGTGCTAGTTTTATGCTGCAGTATTATAATGTGGGGGGATGATAGGATACAGCTGTAATGCACAAGAGAAAGAGAAAAGGGAAAAAAAACTGAATAAGATTAGATTTTCAATTAGCCCATATTTGGCTGATACAAGAGACTGTGCATACATTTTGAGTTACAATAAAAGATTGTAGGAAAAGAGTATAGTATAGCTGAAATCCTGTATATTTGCGCCTATAGATGTCTGTCCAAGAAAAAGATATATGAAAGGGCAAACCAGATGCTCATTGATTTCAACATTTCTACATTGCTTCCTTAGTCCTCTAGAAGCAGCAAGCTCATACAACAACAGCAACAACAACAATTCAGTTCATTGCTATTGGGAAATTATCACAGAAATTCTAGTCTCTGAAATATTCAATTCTGCTACATTTCCTATCCTGTGGTGACTCTTCTAATCAATATTTTACTTGAAAGGAGTCGAACTCCCTCCTATTTTATTTAACTTTAATAGGTACTATTCCAGGTAAGTAAATATATATCATGTGACACTACATTATCAGCCAGAAAAGCCAAGGCTCTGAGATTATGAAATCCTTCCTGTCTTTGATTTGTTCAGAATAACCACTCAAAATCTGAATGGACATTGCTTGTCAAATACAGTATAAATAAAGTCCTTGCCCCATTCTCTCACTCAGAGTAGAAATTAGCACCAGGTGAATACAGAGTTCATCTTTAGCTGTCGGGGCTTGTGATGTGACCTGCTTGACTAGCATTACTGAAAATTAAGATGCCTGTTCAGTAACACACACAAAAGTGATCAATGCTGTAACATTTCTCAAAACCAGATATTTGTAGTAGATAAGTACTTTTATATTTATACCATTTTAAAGAAATTCAGTTTGAATTTTTGTTCTTTTAAGTTTTGAATTCAAGCTGAAACCAGAATTCTTAGTGGGCCGATTGAATCAGATTTTCTGGTTAGGAATCATCTGGATCAGACCATTTATTATTATTATTATTATTACTACTGCTACATACAAATGAATGCAAACAGCAACAAAAAACTAATGGAATATGATTTTTTTATGTTAATATAAAATGTAGTAATGGAATGATCAATTTCGTGTGTTCACCATATGGCATACAATAATAGCAAAGAATGTATCCCCATTTCTTGGTCAACATCACCCTCCATTTTCCTTCCAGCAGTTTTGATACGAATGAGCTGAATGAATGCATATTCATTATTAATTTGTAATCTGTCTCAACTAGGGTGAGTAGGTGTATTAGGAAACAAACTAATACAGTTTCTCCCTCTGATAACCCATTTTGGTTGCTTGTTGGTGGACAGATATTTTGAGAAATCATATACAGGCATCTCCCAAGTTAGTAATTTCATAGGAACCAGCATCCTTAGCCAGTCAGAACAAGAAAGCTATAAAACCTCTTTAATTTATTTATTTATTTATTTTAAAAAAACCTAACATTTTTTCCTTTAAAGTTATCAGTTGTACAGGATTGGGTATATTTGTACTTTGGAAAGTACAAAGATTCTAGGCATATAGTTGAAGGCTTCGTTTGAATTGGAGAATTTGGTCTCCTTCCATTTAAAGTTCATTTCATATGTGCAATTCAGAAAAGGTGCTTCAAGAAACTTTGGCAATCTACAGTTAGCTAGTATCAATGCTCTTCTAATATTGTGTATATTTCAAATAAGGGAGAACTTGGAACAAATTTACTCAACCACAAAAAGAGATTGGAAAGGAGGCCCAGAGGAAACACACATGATTGTAGGATAAGCAGTTTCAGAAAGTGAACATTAAGGTGGGAAGGAACATATTATTGTTGTTTATCTCAGAAAGAAAGCTCTTAGCGAAATGACATGCTTTAGCTGGGATTTCTAACTTCAGTTAGCAAAACAGGATTGAATCTGCTAAGTAAATACAATGAACTGAACCAAGTAAAAGTATTATCAAAATGGGTTTAAACACAGTCTATTAGATACAACCTTATGAGCAATAATTTAGCCCAGAAAGTATTTGGCCTTCCAGGTTTACGTGTGATTTAAAGAGGCCTCCTCTCTCATACTAAGCAATGAGTCTCTTTAAAGGATTTTGTCTATACTCATTTTTGACAGATGAAATTAGCATGGTGGTTTGGGGGAATGAAGTTTGTCATATAAATCCATGAAGCCAAATGTTGGGGTAAATGAATAGAACATGTTTGGAAACTGTCTTGAAACATTCAAAGAACATTGTTCAATGGTGAAGGGTATAACAAAAAAAAATAAATCACAAGTATTGAATGTGAACACCTCTAAGGATTAAAATTGAGAACTGTAGAGGATTCTAAATTTATTTTTTAAAACTTACTTACTACTAAACATGTTATATATGCTAGGGAATTACAATTCCAACAATTCCAACTCAACCAATCTTATCAGATTCCAGAACATTTAAAGGCTAATGTACAGGCATATATCAGATGAATTTTGGAACTGGAAGTGACTGAGTCATCAGGCAAACTAAGGCCCGGGGGCTGGATCTGGCCCAATCGCCTTCTCAATCCGGCCTGCAGACGGTCCAGGAATCAGCATGTTTTTACATGAGTAGAATGTGTGCTTTTATTTAAAATGCACCTCTGGGTTATTTGTGGAGCCTGCCTAGTGTTTTTACATGAGTAGAATGCGTGCTTGTATTTAAAATGCATCTCTGGGTTATTTGTGGGGCATAGGAATTCGTTCATTTCCCCCAAAAAAATACAGTCCGGCCCCCTGCTGAAATAGTTGTTGACCCCTGTTGGTAATCATTACTGTGTCAAAAACAAAGAATGTTTTCATATTTCCCCCCTTCTGATACTAACACTTTAAAGTTCTCGGTCCCTGGCTATGCGATTTTCAGTCATGTCAAAAATCATATGTCCTTTCATCCATCGAATACAGCTTTATTTGTAAATATATATTTTTTCAGGCAGGAATGAAGATTTGGAGATATGCTTCAGAGATCCAGACTATGGGGAGCCCGGAAAAACTACAATTTGGACTACAATTTGATCGCTTTTTTATTTTAGTTTATTGTTTTTAATTGGATTATGATGCGGATATGTTGATTGGCTGTTTTTATTGGAAAATCAATAAAAATGATTTTTAAAAAAACAAAACAAAGAATGGAGCTATCCATTTCTGCATTAATTTTAGACCATAGAACAGTAAGTCAGCATGTGATCATTCTCCGATAACTAGTATTGTTAGAGCTCCCGGGTAAAGCCAACTATATTTGCTTTTAACAACTTACAGACTCCTTTAGAAGAGGAAGAAGAAAGTAAAACTTTACTGCAATGTTTCAGAGGTTGCCTCCATTTGCAGTTATGCCTTTTTGGTTTACAGCAACTTTCCAAAGGCTCATGGATCAACTATTATGTACACATGTGGGATATGCAGCAGCACATCTCAAGTATTTGATCATTTGTTGTTCAAACGGACAGTCATCTGAAACACCTAGAAGTGCTGACGCTGGCCAGACTTTAGTACAGCAACTTCAGAATTGTCCACTGCTGGGAAAAGTTAAGTGTATATTGTTGATACACAGAGGTGAAGTCAGGGATAGCTAAAGGTGACACGTTAGAAATAACTTTCTATTGACTAATTTGTTGGGAGGGGCCACACAATGAAAATGGTGATAGGAAGAGAAGATGTTCAAAATGCTGTAATGGAATTGAAAGAAATGTTTGGTATAAGATTTAGCCGAACTAGGAAAAGTCTTTTTGTACTGGAGAGCAGTGGATCTGATGTGGGCTTTGGGACAATGATGAAACAAGAAAAATATGGGAGTGAACAGCTAATATCCTACAGAACAAAAGGATAAGAAGAAGAAGAGTTTGGATTTGATATCCCACTTTATCACTACCCAAAGGAGTCTCAAAGCGGCTAACAATCTCCTTTCCCTTCCTCCCCCACAACAAACACTCTGTGAGGTGAGTGGGGCTGAGAGACTTCAGAGAAGTGTGACTAGCCCAAGGTCACCCAGCAGCTGCATGTGGAGGAGCGGGGAAGCGAACCCGGTTCCCCAGATTACAAGACTACCGCTCTTAACCACTGCACCACACTGGCTCATATATTGGATAATTATCACACTGGATAACATTTTAGGGGAAAATATTAAGTGGATAATTGAATTGCTCAGGCATTGGCTGTCAGGGGACAACCCTTCTGTTAGTAATTGACCAGTGCCCATTAATATGGATTAATCAAACAAAATACACAAATGCTATTGTTACTTGACAATTCAGCCATATTGTTTCTAAGGTAAGCAAAGAATAGGGACAGATGTTGATTATCTGTTCAGATATAGATATATAATGTATTCTGAAAACTGCTTGTAGCCCGTGGGTCTATGTGTGTTTTAAACTGTAGCACTTGTCCAGGGCTCCTTTACCTTTACCTTTCTTGTATTTGTGCTGAAATCGCTGCTTAGAAATCTCATCTGGGATGGTGATAAGGGGATACAGGTAGCTTTAGCTACTGAGAACCAGCAAAGTGTTACAACTTAAAATAGAGGAGGAAAAAGAGGAGCCCACGTTGCAACAGTTTTACTATGAACAAGCTGGATGGTGGTTAAGCTGAGACACACCTAGACTACTAAATGGGGTGGGGGGCAGGATCCAGACTGTATTGCCCTTGGACTAGTTGGAATTATTTCCTTTGATGGGCTTGGACATCCTTCCTGTAATTAGGAGAATTCTGTTATACACTAACTATTTTTAAGGAGATATTTTGTGAGAAACACAATCGCTTTAATTAAACTTTAACTAAATCATGGGAAGTTTTGAAACCTAAACTGAACAGATGAGCACTGATGTGTGTTTTTTAACGACCCCTTGCTTAGGCATTCCCGTGGCCCAGTCCCACAATTAAAGAACTAACCAGCTTGCTGCTGTTCCAGTTACACTGCAGCTAGAAAGAAAGGAAACCCGAGGAGAGAAACTGCAGTGGTGGCTGGGCAAAAGTAATTTCAGAGTGGGAATGGACACACAGAGAGAGTGAAGAGATGGAGTCCATCTTCTAAAATTGCTCTGAGCACTAGGTGGGGTGAATAGCTGGTGCTTTCAGGGTCCAGTGACCATCCCAGATACAATCAAGCCAGCCTCCTTGAACAATCAGGGTTGTTGCTGGGTACTATAATGGAGGCTGCCTTGCATTTCTTAACCATACATGAGCTGAGAAGCCAGGCAGCACCAATTCACCACTTGGGAGCCTCAGAACATATATGGCAGCCTCTTACAGTACCCTGAGGGTGTCTGTAAGCACAGTACCAGGTTGCCTTTCAAGCTCCATGCTGGTAGGCCAGTGAAGCCTCTTTGCACATGCACATGGAAGCCATTCTGGCTTCTGTGATCTGAGCCACAGGTTTGTATGATCAGAATGTAGATCCATTCTACTCTCTGCCAAAATTTTAGAGAGCAGAGCCAGTTGTTTCATTGCTCTCATAGATGCACAGTATCTTGTGCCAAAGGTTGCCACTATTGTGATGATCATGATCTTCAGTAACCTGGAAAGCTGTTGCTGCATTGAATATACTCCATGCTGCCAGAAATATGGGCTATACAGAGGTGAAAATGAAAATCATAGATATTTAGTGCAACTCTAAAGCACACTAGATTTAAGGGAACAATGACAGGCATGGAACAAGGACCTACAGTACTTATATGATGTGATAGCCATATTCAGATAGCTAATGGGCTGTCACGTAGAAAATGGAGCGAGCATGTTTTCTCTTGTTCCATAGGGTAGGATCTGAACTGATAGATTCAAGTTACAAGAAAGGAGAATCTGACTAAACAGCAGGAAGAAATTTCTGACAGTAAGAACTGTTCAACGGTAGAAGAGCTCCCTCAGAAGGTGGTGGACTCTCCTTTCTTAGAAGATTTTAAGCAGAGGTTGAATGGGATGACCATCTGTCATAGGTGTTTGAGATTCCTGCATTGCAAGGGGCAGGACTGAGGTCCTGAGGGTGACTTCCAATTCTACAGCTCTATGATTCTATATGCCAGTCAGTACTCCCTAGTCCTAGTCTGATACCTTGTGAACTATACACACATTCAGGCATTTCCCTGACCACACAAAGGTTTTATCTTTGCATAGGGAAGGAGTGCACAAGCAATCAGCGTCCCCACTGTCCCTGACAGATGTGCTTCAGCCCTTTATATGCTTGTAATTCTCTCTAACCAGGGCTTCCAATCAAAAGGTACAAAGTGCATTTCTAACTGGGGACACTAGGAGACGACATGTGTGAGTGCCCCTGTCCCATCCACAGATAACACATTTGTATGCTTAGGCAAACATGAGTATGGTGTATAATAAATACACTGACTTACCACAGAACACACTTCTCTGGCAGTCAGATTTCAGATCATGCTGTCATACTATTTGGAGGGGTTAATAAATTTGGGAGGGTCCGCAGCTCAGTGGTAAAGCACATGCTTTGCAGGCACAAATTCCCGGGTTGACTAAGAGGCAGATCCAGTGATGTGAGAGATCCGCAGCTTGAGACCCCCGGGAGCTCATGCCAATCAAAATAGGCAACATGAGGCAATGCAGAACTAGATGGGCAGGCAGTCTGGACTGGTATAGGGGCAGCAGCGTCTCATGTTCCTATGCAAAATTCCACTGCATCCACAGTGATGAACGTGTGGCTCATAGCAATAAGGAGTTCTTTGTTGGATTTAAATACAGTGGTACCTCCGGATGCTCACTGGAAGGACAGATCGTGAAGCTGAGGCTCCAATACTTTGGCCACCTCATGAGAAGAGAAGACTCCCTGGAAAAGACCCTGATGTTGGGAAAGATGGAGGGCACAAGGAGAAGGGGATGACAGAGGACGAGATGGTTGGATAGTGTTCTCGAAGCTACCAGCATGAGTTTGACCAAACTGCGGGAGGCAGTGGAAGACAGGAGTGCCTGGCGTGCTCTGGTCCATGGGGTCACGAAGAGTCGGACACGACTAAACAACTAAACAACAACACCTCGGGATGCGAATGGAATCCATTCCAGAGCCCCGTTCGCATCCAGAATCAAACATGACTAGTGACGGAACATCTGTGCATGTGCTCGTCGCTTTTCGCCGCTTCTGCACATGCGTGTGACATCATTTTGAGCGTCTGCGCATGCGTGAGCGGCAAAACCCAGACGTAACACGCTCCGTTACTTCCGGGTTGCCGCAGAGCGCAACTTGAACGTGCTCAACATGAAGCATATTCAACCCGAGGTATGACTGTAGTGCCTTTCTGCCAAGGCACTAAGGTGGTTTGCAACTTGGAATATTAACAGAAAGAAATGATAAAAAATATTCTCAAGCATTGACATTAGGTGTTTCCTGGCTTCTCCTTTGCATCAGGGCTAATAGGTCTTAAGCAGCCCTGGGGAAGGAGGGGAATGGGGAATTTTGCCCTATTATTTAGTGCAGGGTTGGGGAACCTGTGGCCTGTCAGAGGCTGCTGGATTCCAGCTCCCACAGTTCTGATCATTTGCTGTGCTGGCTGGGGCTGATGACAGCTGAGTCCAACAACCTCTGAAAGATCACAGATTCCCCATCACTGATTAACTGCATTGTTCCACACGTGAGAATTACAGGAAGGTATTTTTGTTAATCTATTATACAGGAGGAAATATGCAGGTAATTCACCTAAAGTTGTTTATCAGGTGGGTAATACAGAGAAATATCATCTATGGAGTAGCTAGGTTTGTGATGGCTGCACAGACATCAAGGAAGAATTGTTTAGAAGAAAAGGGTATTAACTTTTATGATATCCAACTGTGTTAATTATTTTGTCTATTTTATGGAAAAGGTTTGTCTCTCTTGCAAGCTTCCCTGTAAACTAGATGGATGCTCCTTTACTTTTTTCCTTTCTTCTTTTAATATTGGATGATAAATGTGATGATATTGTAATGGCCATATTGGATAATATATATATATATATGTATGTGTGTGTGTATATATATATTGCTTTTTATCTTTCAATAAAGAATAAAAAATAAAAAATACAAGAGATATAACAGCTCTTAAATTCTACATAGTAATTCATAGCAGAGCACACACTACTTCACATGCACTTGTTATTTTTGCCATTTGCCTGCTATTTTAAAGCCCATTCATACAAACATCCATTTAAAATATTCTAAAAAGGCAATATCCTGACTGGAGCGCTTTCATTCCATTCAGCATTGCAACAAATTGCCTGACTGAAAAGTAAATATTTACTTCAGAAGAATATGAAACTTACAAAAATATAACAACACACATAAACAATATGAAATTACTTTAACTAAACTTTATTTGACTGATGTTTCACAAGGGTTCTGCTTGTGCATTTTTTAGTTTAATACCAACCACAGTTAGGCTCAGTTTGCACATAATGCAAAGGCAAACCATGGGTTTGGATGAACGTGTAGTACCGGAGAGGAGATCACAGTCATTTTGCTGCTACTGTAGTTCTGCTGCCACTGTGAGCTAAAGCTATGGTTTTGCTTTACATGTTGCCCAAACCTGGGCTTATGGTTTTCCTGGTCTGAGACAAACCACAAGTCCAAAACTAAACCATGGCTTAGCTCACATCAGCAGCAGGACTGGAGGAAGAGCAAAGAGACTGTGTGTTCATGTTAATCCATGGTTTAGCTTAGTGTTACATGCAAACAGGGTCACAATGGGTTAGCACAGTGATGGCCAAACTTGGTCCTCCAGATGTTTTGGGACTACAACTCCCATCATCCCCAACCACTGATCCTGTTAGCTAGGGATGATGGGAGTTGTAGTCCCAAAACATCTGGAGGACCAAGTTTGGCCACCACTGGATTAGCACCATAAATCAAAGTATAAAATGTGAACTCAGTTTATTTCATTGGGCATTAAATTCTAAACTTTACTGTGCTAAAACTAACCTATTTTCAGAAGACTTTATGATGACGCAGTAAACATCCTTGCACATGGGGGCGGGGATTCAGGAGGCAAATATGCAGTCAAATAATCACATCATATAATCACTATGCATACAAACCTAGGTACAATTTATACATCATCAAGGGGATATGACAACCAACAAAAGAAACTTCTTTGCCACCTGAATAATACAGTATTTGGTAATCCCAATCGCATATTAGCACATGGGGGGAAAGGAACCAGGTTTTTTCCATGTGATTAAGATATTCAAACATTCCTAAGGCAACCTAGAAGCAGGTTCCTGGTGGATACCTTGCCACCATCTGCTCTAGTCTTTGCCCATAGACCAGTGTTTTTCAAAAGCTGGGTCTCCAACTATTGTTGGACTGCAACTCCCATCATTCCTGATTAGCAGGACCAATGGTCAGGGATGATGAGTTGTAGTCCAACAACAGCTGGAGACCCAAGTTTGAGAAACACTGCCATAGACTTTCATCAACCCCACTTTTCAATTTCCTTCTAAGTTTGAGTGATTGGTTCTACATTTCCTTGCAACACCAATGATAAGCTCATGCTTTAAGACAATCTGTGATGCTCGTTTATACTTTCCCATTCTACCCTGTTATTCTGTTTTCTGAGCCAGATAGGTGGCATCTAGAGATAAGCAACTAAATTAATAATAATAATATAAAATAATAAAATTTTATTTATATCCCACCCTCCCCAGCCGAAGCCGGGAGGATGGATTGAGGTAGTTTTGCACCAAAGTACGTTTGCTTTTTGAGCAACCATTTTACGAGAATTGGGTAGCTTTCTGAAGAGGTACAACTCACACGCTTTCAATTGTTGGATAAATAACCACAACCTAGCTTGTCCAACAAGAACTTTTTTGTAGACCCGTTAAGTTTTCCTGACATTGTCCAGTGCAATGTTTCACCTATTTTGGTCCGCCAACCATGCTGGAAAACCAAGGGCTACTCTGAGTAGCTTACATGAGGATTTGTAATCACTGTCTCCTTCAAAGAATCAGTCCATTTAGGCAGAGGGTGTTGTTTTTAATCTGTGATAGCATTCCCTTCAGTGCACTACAGAGACTGCCTAATCTACTTTTAATGAACCTATTACCATAATATCTAGGAGCCACACTGTCAGCACTGGGCATGGATCCAATGCCTGATTTGGGAATGGGGTAGGAGGGGGATATCTGCTGGTCCAAGCTATGCATTCACCATCTGGATTAATCTGCAACTTTGTTTATTTATTTATTTTCCAGAAAGGACTTTGAATAAACTTCTGTTAAATAAGTATAATGCATGGGGATTTATTTCACTATCCAAACACTTCTAAGAACAAGTGTTCTTAACACTTGACACTTCCTTCTCTGCCGGTATATAGATGTTAATGGTCACTTTTCCTTATCAGCCCTTGTTCTGCTACAGTTCACAGGCAGACAAAAGGAAATGGACAATGCCGTTGAACATGTGCTAGCAGTGAGACAATGGAATAAAATGTAATGACACTGGCACAGTAAAGTTTTATATTTTCCAGAATAGCAGAAATACCTCAGCAATTAGGGCAGATGATATTTCATAGCGACGGATATAAGTGAAGGCATGTGTCAATCAGCATGCTAAGAGAATCTGAACTAGTCTTGCGGCATAAGGCTGACAACTTGGGAGCTCAGTGCTCCCCAACATCTGACGGTGGTGTTAGCAGGAAAGTTACTAAGGACAGCAGGTGTTGGGGGGATCAATGCGATAGTAAGGGGTATACCCTTGACACCAAGGGAGGTCAAGAGCTGCTGCTCCAGCATTAATGCATTTTGGATTAGTATCTTGTGTCAATAAATCCTGATTACTAACATCAAATACTTGACATTGCTCAACTTTGCACCAGCCATTTGCTAATTGCAGCAACATTCCTTAGGAATTCCTTAGTGGGGAAAACAATGGTCATCTTCCCAAGGCCGTTATGAAGGTCAGAGAATCAGAGACATTTCAAACTAACTTCTGCAAACGATAGATAAAACACTTAATCAGACCTCTGCAGACTATAATTTAAAAGCATATTATAAGGGAGGACAGTTAACCCATAATTCATAGATAAGCTGAAAACATGGCTGCATTGATTGCAGCTTAGTGAACTGCTAACTAATTTTGTGAACCTTTTCAAATAAAAATGTTTACTACTGGATGAAAGTAGCCTTTTAAAAGCAAACGGAGACCTTTGCCCCAAGTGACAGTCCAAGGAATGCAAGCCAGGTGTGTGTGTCCATCTGTCCTTCCTCTGACTACCACCTTGGCTGCTGGCTCAGCCTAACCATGTACAATATCCAAGAGAAGGGAGTCACTAAGCACAGCTAAAGTAGGTATCTTTGAACAATAATATAAAATTAAGCAATATCATATAAATGATTAAATTTAAGCAATTCAAATGGAAACAATGCAATACAATATCTGATATCATGAAAACATCATAAAAGCTACAGAAATGGGCAGGATTAGTTTTTAATCCCTTTCTGTCTACCTGCAATATATTTAATCTCACCTTCCTCTTAAACTTGGGTTGCCCGATTCTGTCCTCGCCAAATGCTTACAGGTACAGTTGTACCTCAGAAGTCGAATGGAATCCGTTCCGGAAGTACGTTCGACTTCCAAAATGTTCAGAAACCAAAGCGTGGCTTCTGATTGGCTGTGGAAGCCCTGTCAGACGTTCTGGTTCCAAAGAATGTTCACAAACTGGAACAATCACTTCTGGGTTTGCGGCATTCAGGAGCCAAAACATCCGAGTACCAAGGTGTTCAAGATCCAAGGTACGACTGTATAATGTAATAGCTGCTCATGTTTATTCTCTCCCTCATGTAAAGTCCAGGATGGAGCACAACTACCCCAGCGATGCCCTGGGCAGGAGCAGGAACAGCACTTTCCTTGTCATGCATGGACAATGCAGACTAGTCAAACCAAGACCCAGTGCATCACAGATGATAAGGAAAAAGGGAACTGAACAACTGTGGTACATCCAAGAGAACCAATGTCCTTTCTAAAAGAACAGGGAAGTTTTAGGCCTATCCTATTCATTTTCAGTTTTATCCTCTGATGTTTTTACTGCTCTTCCTCTAGCAAATTATGGCCATGCAATGCATATGTATATTTTCCAAAGAGGAAAATTTGCTCTCAGAAATATTCCTAAGCTGCTGCTTTTTCTTTTTCTAGCCTAACATTGGTCCTGAAATCTGCAAATACTATTTTGGACAGAATCCAGGGCAAAGCAGCATTGTATGAAAAGTGTAACAGATACAGCTCCAAAAGAGCCAACTGAAAAATACAGGCAACATATGGTAAAGATTTTTTCAATTTTGCATGCTGCTTTGTGATGGTTCCAATACCTTAGAGCAGCCTTTCTCAACCTTGGCCAGAGCTCAGGGATGATGGGAGTTGTAGTTCAACAACATCTGGGTACCCACAGGCTGAGAAACACTGCCTTAGAGCAACTTTCCTGAAATGCATAGTACAGCCAGGGCAGTTTTTCCTTCAGTAACATACATAATCTAACAAAGTTTGCTACATGGCAAATATCAAATCAGCTATTTTAATATCTACTTTAAAAAACAAAACACATGAGGTGTTAAAATAATGTTGCTTGGGATTTCAGAAAGCCTTATTTGCTTGACAGTTTCCCTACATGTGTCTTATAATCATTATATGGTGGGTGGGTATGTTTAGATAAAGGCTATGTGGTGCAGTGTAACAGAATTACACCTGAAACTCCCTTATACTGTGTCAAACCACTGGACTATTAGCTCAGTATTGTCTGATGGGCAGTGGCTCTCCACAGTCTCAGGCAAATAAATTTTTCCCATGTGGTTATCAGGGTTCCTTTAGCTCAGGGATGGCAAACTCAGGAGGCTCCAGATGCTGTTGTACTCCAGCTTCCATCAGCCCAGCCAGCATGCTCAATGTAAAGAATGGTGGAGTCCAGCAATATCTGGAAGACCACAGGTTCCCCATCCTTGCTGTGCCTCAAGATGCCAAAACCAATTGGATAAAAGGAAATTGGAAAAATCGCCCAATGCTTTCTTCACCGTGAGACAACCTTCCTGGAAAATCGGGAAGCAAATTACAAGATTACTTAAATTCACACTGCAGAACATCCAGACTTCCTACATCAGTTGTCATCTTGGGCATGGTACATCAAGCAAAGGTTCTTTTAAATAGGTAGATGTGAACATAGCCCTTTGCATGAGTGGTTAGTTACAGAACGTTCAGCCATCTCTCATGTCTGTGAAGCCATAGCTCAGTCATACAGCACATGATATTAACACGGGTCAAAAGAAATGAACTGCCATATAATGCAGCAGAATAATAGCCCATCTATGCTGTTACTGTAAACTCTGGTTAACGGTCACATTTTGAAGTATTAGGAAAAGATATCAGGCCTGGGTCCGGAGCTAACTGAACTATATGTGCCATGTTATCTTCCCTTCCTCCCTAAATTAACCTGCTATCCTCGGGCGCAGTAAAAGATGCTGTCCCATCGCCACCATTGATGTAAGATTCGACTACCCCATGGAATGGGGATGGGGCAGCATGTGCACTTCACAGGATGCCACAGCAAAATGTATTGAACTGGTCCTGAGCATTAGTTTCCATATACCAAGTCAAAGCATTGGTCCATCTGGCTCAGTACATTGACTGGCATTGGTTATCCATGGTTTCAGACAGGGCTCATTCCCAGCCTTACCTGGAAATGTTAGGGACTGAACGTGGGATGCTCTTCCTATGGGACGCGGGTGGCGCTGTGGTCTAAACCATTGAGCCTCTTGGCTTGCCGATCAGAAAGTCGGCGGTTCGAATCCCTGCGACTGAGTGAGCTCCGGTTGCTGTGCCCCAGCTTCTGCCAACCTAGCACTTCAAAAGCATGCCG